CAGACCATTTGTGGGTTTTTTCTGTAAGGGTGTGTCTAAACTACATGGCTTCGTCGATGGAGCCATGTAGATTAGGCTGCTCGGCAGAGGGAAATGAAACCACGATTTAAATAATCGCGGTTTCATTTAAATTTAAATGGCTGCTGCACTGATCCGACAAACAGCTGATCAGCTGTTTGTCGGCTCAGTGCAGCAGCCATTTAAATTTAAATGAAACCGCGATTATTTAAATCGTGGTTTCATTTCCCTCTGCCGAGCAGCCTAATCTACATGGCTCCATCGACGAAGCCATGTAGTTTAGACACACCCTTACAGAAAAAACCCACAAATGGTCTGGTAGCACTTTATAGACTAACAAAACATGGAGATGGACTGTCATTCGGTCCAGAGAAAAGATGCATGAGGTAATATCGTTTATTGCAGGGGCCAGATGCCATCACTGGCTTGCCGAGATCCAGTCCCTGAGGCTCAGGGCTCCTCCCACCCCAACACTGGGGAGCCTGTGCTGGCACTTCAGCCCCCGCTGCCCACTGCCCGACTGATCTTTCTGTGGGTCAGCGGCCCTCAACCCTGGTTTATTGGATCACAAGGGTTGGTGAGAGACATAGGATTGTTAGCTTACTTTGAAAGCCTCTCCCTCTCCCTCTCTCGCTCAGCAACAGAAATGAATCCAATAAAAGTTATTACCTCACCCATCTTGTCTTTCTAATACCCTGGGACCGACATGGCTACGACACTGCATATTCAATCCAGAAAAAAGGCTGGAGGACAAGGCTGCCTCTTCATAATATCACATGTGAGATCCATATGATTTCTACCCCTTGCCCATATTACACACACACTTAATTTCTCTCTCTCTCTCTCTCTCTCTTTCCTCCTTCCAGATGTCCCACAACTACACACATCCTCTCACACCAACACATATCAACTTATCCCCACTGACACACATTCCTCCATCTCCTTAAAGGCACACACAGCTTCTCTTCTTCCTCCTATATACACTCTCAGGGTATGTCTACACTACCCCCCTAGTTCGAACTAGGGGGGTAATGTATGCATACCGAACTTGCTAATGAAGCCCGGGATTTGAATTTCCCGGGCTTCATTAGCATAAAGCCGGCTCCGCCATTTTTAAAAGCCGGCTTGTTCGAACCCCGTGCCGCGCGGCTACACGCGGCACGGACTAGATAGTTCAGATTAGGCTTCTACAGATACCCCTCTACAGATACCCATGCACACACTTCTCCTCCTGCACATTCATATACACATTCATACACATATTCTCTCACCTGTTGCTGTCACACACACACCTCAGTGAGCCAATAAGCTGTAATATGCCAGACATGGAAAGCATGAAAATTGGCCAATTTTTAAATATTTTAAAACCTATCACATACATTTTACTGGCCTGTACAAAGTGTTTTATGATGCCTGTAACATGGAAACTATCACCATGAATAATCCCCTTGAGCTGGATTGACCTCCCCGCTCCATCTTCTCTGAAACATCCTCCCTTCCATAACACACTCACACGTTCCTGAGTGACAGCCCCTGCTTCCCCTGACATGGCCCTGATCAGGAAGGTACCATTGTACAGCGCAGAAAGTGATCATGTGGAAGTAGAGGAAACGAGGGGTGTGGAATAAAGGGGAAGGAGAGGAGAGAAAGATGACAAGGAGTTAGGAGGGAGAAGGAAAGGCTGGGAGGCTCAGTGCACAGGAGAAAGCTACCATATGCCTAGTGATCAACCTAGACATTCAAGCCAGAAGCCTCTGTACCGCTCCTCAATGGAGAGCTGAGTAAACAGGGAAGTCCTAGTACTAGGGGAGAAAGAGAAGCAAGTGTGTGTCCTGTATGCCTTTTGCAGCATAAGTTCTCATTCCTAGTTGTCTTCTGTTTATACAGGGCCCACACCGGGCAAGGCCCTAGCCCCAAAGGGCAAACAATCTAAACAGATGGCTTTCAGAGGCAGAAAGGGGGCTGGGCCGATGGGGCAAAGCCAAGAGTGGAATGGAGAAGCTGAGCACTAGCCCATCTCATTCTGCAGGCCCAATCCCCTTCTTTTCATTCCCACTGTCATGCTGCAAAGCAGCCTGGGACAGCGGCAGCCACAGGAAAGGGAAAGCCTGACAGTCAAGCTGATTCTATCCTCTTGGTAGGAGCTGGCTCCAGGAAGGGGCTTAGTAGGGAGCTGCTTGGAGCACAGACTCTTTCTTAATTTAAATCAATGGCATTTTTTCCACCCTAAGTGTTCTGCTTTAACGCTGACAAAGGAGGAGGAATTCCATGCATTTCCCTGGCTGTTTAGAAGGCTGCTGCCCTCCTCTCCCCTGTCAAACACTAATCTCTCCTAATATTTAGCAGTCCCAGTAGGCAGCAGGATTTATCCTCTGGCCTTTCTACCTGTCATTCCATCCCCTCTCACTAAGGAGCCTTCTGATTCCTTTCTGAAAAGAGGTGCCAGGGCTGATGTGATGTATTGGCTCACGCTGGCAGTTAAAGAACTAGCCCCATTTTTCCCTGTTTCAGCTGTCGGGCATTTATCCAGGGCAGCTCCGTACAGCTGCCTAAGACCCCCTTACCACAGCAGAGGGAAAGCCCTGGCTGGTCAGTGTTACTGAGTGGGAAGCTGGGTTGAGTGTCAGTGCATGAGGCTTTGACTTATACAGAGCCGCAACCCCCTCCTGATCGGGTTCTCAACATCATGGTCAATTCCAGCCCCTTTAATAGGTAGAAACAAAACCCTGGATACAGACACCCCTAAATTCTGGATACAAACTCTCCAGCATGGGACCATCTTTGTTTGATCTGCCAACTTGCCCTGACTTACTGTGCCCTCCCTTTCCTGCTGTCTCCAGATCTTTGGATCATTCCTTCTTTATTGTCCTGCTTCCTAGAGGATCCTGCCCACTTCCTTGTGTCCCAGTCCAGTCACACCTCCCACTCCAAAACCTCTCCTGAGTTTCCAGGTGCCTTGTTCTTCCCTGAGTTCATTATATCCTCTCCAAACAAAATCATGACAACGTGAAAACAGGGGTTGGCTCTCACAGCAAGCAAGTTACAGAGAGATGTAGTTTCCCGACACTGCCTGGAGGAGTGACTGCTGAGTGACAGGGATGGTTTCTCTGGCTCGGGGGAGTGCTCACTGTATAAGCTGTCCACTTGTATGGCTGCTCAGGAGAGATTCAAATGCTGCTCAGCTGATTTCCAGAACTCCCACAGGTAGGTTTTGTGTTTCTATTGGTGGTGCATATTCGCACATGCCTTGGTGCACATAAAAATGTATTCTGCACTTTTAATCTGCAGAAATGGCCTACAAGGGCACATCTAGACTATGCACAGCTTCTGAAAGAAGATATGCAATTTCAGAGTGAATTTGCATATCTGCTTCCATTTTTTCCCCCGGAAATTTGCACTCTTTTGAAAGTCCCCTTATTGCTCCTAAAAGGAGGTTTACAGGGGGCTTTCGAAAGAGAGGCTTTTTCCAATATTTGGCCCCGTGTAGATGGGCCAAATATCAGAAAAGACTCTTCCAGAAAAAAACCCCAGAAGATATGCAAATTTGAGCAGAATTTGCATATCTTCTTTCGGAAACCACGTGTAGTCTAGATATGCCCTACTAGGCCCTATTGCCCTGTTGTACTTATTGCCTTTCTCCAGGTGTTGAGCACACATTTGTCTTCTCCCCACCATGGGTTCAGACTCTGGGGCACCTCCCAATGGGATGGAGGGTGAGACACGTGAAGAGGTATTCAAATGGCGTCTCGCTAGTAGCAGTGTGGAGCGTTAACCTCAGGGGACTGCAACTCCAGCGCACAGGAGCACGGGCACTGTGCGAGCTCACGCTGTTCCAAAACTCCTCCTTTTCTACTGGACAGGTGGCTAAGCAATCCACGGGCTGGTGGAGTTGCAGCAGCACAGTAGCCCTTTATATCATTAACAAGCCCTTTGATTGCCATTTCCTTAGTCCTGGAGTTAAAAGTCATTAGACTCCAACCCCAACTCACCTCCTTCCTCTGATCAGGTTACAGCATTGGGTTAGTGGGGGGCAGCTGCTCTTCAGAGACATTTCTCATGTTGTGAGACGACGAGAAGGGCGGAAACTCTACTCCCCCACTAATGACTATTACGATTGTCACCTGCAATGTGAGACCTTGGCCTGCGGCTCAATAAACAGAAGCAGGCCTGGCCAGAGACAAGCTTTAATAGGACACCTTTACCAAATACCATGGTCGGAAGGCCTGGTGCTGCCTTTGTTTCCGCTAGTGCTGGCTGCTTCCTTTCCACTCCTTTTCTTGCTTTGTTTTGTTCTCTCTCGTCTAAGTAGTGGCAACCTTAGAACTCTGCAGGGCACCATTAAAAGACAGATGATACTGCCAGAGCACAGCTGTCCAAAGCCATGGAAAACGCATTCCATATAATCTTCCTAAAGGGGCATGTGTTTAACATTGACCTGGTTACACAGCCCAGCTCCACCATATGCACATACCCTTTCAAAAAGGAATAGCGAGGCTAAATTGGGCAGCTGGAGGGCCAACTCAGCTATCTTACAAATGGACCAGTCGGTGTCTCCTGATGAACTGGGATAATGTAGAGAGAGCAGGGAATGGGAAGGAGGGGAAATGGAAGGATAGATTAAACTGAGAATTTTTCAATGTGTTTTTAAGAGCAGGGTACATAATAGTAAATAATACCTTCCTCTCCCCGAGCTTCTAGAGCTGTCTGCAGACTTGCATGTTCTGATCACACATACAGTAACCCTACAGCACAGTATCCCCACATTGGGATAAAATCACACCCGATTATGCTCTAGGACTAGGTCACAATCCTGAGGAGGTCATGAAGAGGCATCAGAGGTCATCTTACCTTTCTCATACAACTTACTGAGAAGGGGAACCTGGCTAGATGGAGGTGGGGTTGGAGATGTTCTCTTTTTTGAAAAAGCTCAGAATCACTATTCTCGGACACACTCTTTAAAAACAATTATGCAAAATACTCACCCTTTCTGAAAATACAAGGACTATGAGGGATTGAAGAAATCACAGGTTGAATCAGACAATCCCATGTTAGATTTAAAGGCAGTTGGACTTTAGCTAATTCTCTCTTCACAATATACAAGAAATAAGACAACAATGACCTCAAAGCTACATTCTGTAGCATGCCCTCATAACTAGAAATCTAGAACCCTCTGTTCATTGGTCAAGCCTTAACCATGGGGTGGGGCTATCAGGAAGGCAAGGGCTATGTAAAGCCCACTAGTAAGCAACCAAGGAGCTTAATGACCAGGAGCAGCTAACAAAGAGTTTTGTGAGGAAGTTTAGAGGGGGAGTTGGCAGGGGGCTAGACACACTTGCCATTCTTTAAAACTTTTAAAGAAAACTAAAGCCAAAACTATGTGATTTAAGTAAAATCCTGTCAATAATATAATTATCTGTAGGAGAGAATGCAGGCAGAAGCCTAGAAGCAGAGTGGCGATTATACTGTTTATTGCATCCAATGTAGCATGTATGATTACCTGTCCTATAGACAGGTGTCATATGTGCATTCAATGCAAGGAGCTCCTGGCCCTAAAAGACTGTGTATGGGCTTTGGAGACCAGGGTGGCTGAATCGGGGGAGCTAAGGGAGGCAGAGAGGTACATAGATGAGGCTTTCTGCAACACTGTAGTACTGTCCTACCTCCAGTCAAACAGCACCTGAGCTGTTAAGGAGGGTGAAAGGCTCAGGGAAGAAAAACATTCTACCAGATCAGAGGGAAACCATCTTAAAGTTGGGACCCTCCTTCCAGATGATGTTGTAGTATCTTCTCACACTGAGAATACCTCTCTGAGGGAAGGAACTCCAGTCACTGGGAAAAGGCAGGTGTTCGTAATGAGGGATGAAGTCATTAGAAATATAAACAGATATGTTTGTGATAACTGGGAGAACTGTATGGTGACTTGCCTGCCTGATGCGAAGGTTGCAGATCTCTCAAGACATTTAGATAGGCTTATGTGTAGTGCTGGAGAGGAGCTAGTGGTCGAGGTACATGTAGGTACCAATGACATAGGGAAGGTTAGGAGAGAGGTTCTGGAGGCCAAATTTAGGCTGCTAGAAAAGAGATTGAAATCCAGGACCTCTATGGGTGTGTCTAGACTACAGGGTTTTGTCGACAAAAGTCCACTTTTGTCAACAAAACTATACCTGCGTCTACACTACCGCTGAGTTCTGTCGACATAACGTCGACAGAACTCAGCAGTTTTGTCGATGCTGGTAAACCTCATTTTATGAGGCATAACGTCTTCTGTCAACAGAGTTCTGTCGACAGAAGGGGTGTGTCTAGACTACATGCCTCCGTCGACGGAGGCATGTAGATTAGCCAGATCGGCAGAGGGAAATGAAGCCACGATTAAAATAATCGCGGCTTCATTTAAATTTAAATGGCTGCCCCGCTCTGCCGATCAGCTGTTTGTCGGCAGATCGGGGCAGTCTGGACGCGCCGCGCCGACAAAGAAGCCTTTCTTGATCGGCACAGGTATGCCTCGTGAAACCAGGTATACCTGTGCTGATCAAGAAAGCTTTCATTGTATTATAAAGCCAGGGGCTAATTCTGCAGCCCTGGAGCATCCAAAGCTCAACAGAAGTCAGTGAGGGTACGTCTAAACTACATGCCTCCGTCGACGGAAACCAGGGTTACCTGTGCCTCGTGAAACCAGGGTTACCTGTGCCGATCAAGAAAGGCTTCTTTGTCGGCGCGGCGCGTCCAGACTGCCCCGATCTGCCGACAAACAGCTGATCGGCAGAGAGGGGCAGCCATTTAAATTTAAATGAAGCCGCGATTATTTTAATCGTGGCTTCATTTCCCTCTGCCGATCTGGCTAATCTACATGCCTCCGTCGACGGAGGCATGTAGTTTAGACGTACCCAAGGTGTTATTGCATGTAAACTGTCCTTTGCGTCTACACTACCATGTCTACAAAGCACCTTGCTTTGTCGACAGAACTGAATTTAGTGTAGATGCTCTTTGTCAACAGAAGCTTTGTCGACAGTATCTGTCAACAAAACTTCTGTCGACAAAAGCCTGTAGTCTAGACGTACCCTAGGGTAGTGTTCTCTGAATGCTTTCCAGTTCCATGTGTAGGGCCGGGTAGGTAGGCAGAACTTCAAAGTCTCAATGCGTGGATGAGACGATGGTGTAGAGAGAAGGGGTTTAGATTTATTATGAACTGGGGAAACTTTTGGGAAAGGTGGAACCTATACAGGAATGATGGGCTTCACCTAAACAAAAATGGAAACAGATTGCTGGCACTTAGCATTACAAAAGGTTGCAGAGCAGTTTTTAAACTAAGGGCTGGGGAAAAGCAGATGGGTATGAAGGGGCACATGGATTGGACAGAGACATTTCTTAGAGGAGGGTCTATTAATAGAGATTCTCTATGTTCTAGTAAGGAGGAGAGGCTAGAAGATGATAAAATAGGGATAAGATCAGATGAAAACTATCAAATGAAAAAGAATCTAACACATCTGGAAATGGCAGACAGATAAATAGTGACAAATTTTTAAAGTGTTTATACACAAACACTAGACGTCTAAATAATAAGATGGGTGATCTAGAGTGCCTCATATTAAAGGAAGATATTGATAAATAGGCATCACAAAAACTTGGTGGAATGAGGACAATCAATGGGATACAGTCATATAAAGGTACAAAATTTATCAGAAGGACAGAACAGGTTGTGCTGGTGGGAGAGTGACACTATATATGAAAGAAAATGTAGAATCAAATTAAGTAAAAATTTTAAATGAACCAAAATGTTCCATAAAATCTCTCTATTATTGGAGTAATTCCACACTCCAATAATAATAATAAGCAGCAGTAGGGATATATTATTGACTGCCTGACCAACATAGTGATAGTGACTATGAAATGCTAAGGGAGATTAGTGAGGCTATCAAAATAAAAAAACTCAGCAATAGTGTGGAATTTCAACTATTCCCATATTGACTGACTACATGTTACCTCAGGATGGGAAGCAGAGATAACATTTCTTTGTACCATAAATGACTGCTTCTTGGAGCAGCTGGTTTTCGAACCCACAAGGGGAGAGGCAATTCTTGATTTAGTCATAAGTGGAACACAGGATTTGATCCAAGAGGTAAATATTACTGGACCACTTGGAAATAGTGACTATAATGTAATAAAATTTAATATCCCTGTGGTGGGAAAAACCCCTCAGCAGCTCCACATTGTGGCATTTAATTTCAGAAAGGGGAACTACACAAAAATGAGGAGGCTAGTTAAACAGAAATAAAGGGCTTGTCTAGACTACATCCCTCTGTCAAAAGGGGGATGTAAATGAGCCCGATCAAAAGTGCAAATGAAGCGGGAGTTTAAATATCCTGCACTTCATTTGCATAATCATGTCCATTGCTGTTTCGAAAAAGGGTATTTCGAAAGTGAAACCGCAGTCTAGACGCAGTTGTTTAAAAAAACATAATAATACACCATAATAAAGGTACAACTTAAATATATACCCCAAATTAAAAAAACAGTAAGAGAACCCAAAAAATGCCACAGTGGCTTAACAACCAAGTAAAAGAAGTAGCGAGAGATAAAAAGGCATTGTTGAAATAGTGGAAGTTAAATCCTAGTGAGGAAAATAGAAAGGAGTGATCAGATGCGAATATGTAAATGAAACGTGGCATAGTTAAATCCCTGCTTCATTTGCACTTTTGGTCGGGCTCATTCATATCCCTCTTTCAACAGAGGGATGTAGTCTAGACATAGACTAAAAGGTACAGTGCCAAAAGTAAAATCCCTGCAAGCTGCACAGAAACTTTTCAAAGACACCATAATAAAGGTACAACTTAAATATATACCCCAAATTAAAAAAACAGTAAGAGAACCCAAAAAATGCCACAGTGGCTTAACAACCAAGTAAAAGAAGTAGCGAGAGATAAAAAGGCATTGTTGAAATAGTGGTAGTTAAATCCTAGTGAGGAAAATAGAAAGGAGTATAAACTCTGTCAAATTAAGTGTAAACATATAATAAGAAAATCCAAAAAGGAGTTTGAAGAACAACTAGCCAAAAACTTAAAAAGTAATAGCAAATTTTTTTTTTTAAAGTACATCTGAGGCAGGAAGCCTGATAAACAACCAATGGGGCCACTGGACAATTGTGATGCTAAGGGAGCACTCAAAGACAGTAAGATCACTGTGGAGAAACTAAATTAATTCTTTGCTTCAGTCTTCATGGCTGAGGATGTTAGGGAGATTCCCAAACCTGAGCCATTCTTTTTAAGTGACAAATCTGAGGAATTGTCCCAGATGGAGGTGTCATTAGAGGAGGTTTTGGAACAAACTGATAAACTTAAAAGTAACAAGTCACAGAGACCAGATGGCATTCATCCAAGATTTCTGAAAAAATTCAATTGTGAAATTGTGAAACTATTAACTGTAGTTTGTAACCCATCCTTTAAATCAACGTCTGTACCTAATGCCTGGAAGATAGTTAATGTGACTCCAATCTGTAAAAAGGTCTCTAGAGGTGATCCTGGCAATTATAGATCGGTAAGCTTTAGGTCAGTACTGGCAAATTAGTAGAAACTATACTAAAAATAAAATTGTCAGACACACAGATGAACATAATTTGTTGGGGAAAAGTCAACATGGATTCTGTAAAGAGAAATCAAGCCTTATTAGAGTTCTTTGACGGGAGTCAACAAACATGTGGAAAAGAGGGAGCCAGTTAATATAACATACTTAGATTTCCAGAAAGACTTTAACAAAATCCTTCACCAAAGGCTCCTATGTAAAATTAGTTGTCATGGGGTAGGAGGGAAGGTTCTCTTAAGGACTGATAGCTAATCAAAAGACAAGAAACAAAGGGTAGGAATAAATGGTAAATTTTCAGAATGGAAAGAGGTAACAAGTGGTGTCTCTGATAGGTCTCTATTAGGACCAATCCTGTTCAACGTATTTATAAATGATCTGGGGGAAGAGGTAAATATTGAGGTGGAAAAAATTGCAGATGATACAAAACTGCTCAAGATAGTTCAGAACAAAGCAGAATGTGAAGAGCTTCAAAAACATCTCACAAAACGAAGGGTATGTCTACACTGCA